TATATATATATATATATATATAAATATATACATTTATAGAATATAAATATATAAATCTGTATATATATTTTTTTTTGTTTTTGCTTATCCGAAAAATCATCTGTTCTGAATCATCATCTGACTCAAAAACCACAATATGATCCGTTGAACCATTATATATTTATATATATATATATATATATATAGAGAGAGAGAGAGAGATAGAAAAAGGTGTAAAAAAGGTTGGACAACCCTGTGCTAACAGACATGTTTTTGGAGAGTTATACTGTTGTGATGTGAATAAATACCAATAAAAATATTATAAACCTGCATAGCTTACACATCGTCTTCATTGCAGGCCTTGAGCTCAGAACTGGCCCAGGCCCGTGACGATTCCAAGAAGACCCAAAATGATGTTTTGCATGCAGAGAATGTGAAGGCTGGCCGGGATAAATACAAGACCCTACGCCAGATCCGCCAGGGCAACACCAAGCAGCGTATTGATGAATTTGAATCCATGTGATGGCTGTACATCCTCTTTGATCCACCCCACTTTCCACCCTGTAGCCCTAATGCCTTCATGGCTGGCTTACAAGCACAGCTTTTACCTGCCCATACTTCTCCTATAGACCAATGATCCTTGACCTTTGATCCCCTTCAGAGAGCTTGAGGGACATGGCTGCCCCTCCCTCAAGCTTTGCCAAAGCTCTCTCCACCTGTGAACAGCCCATCAGGCAGTTTCCACGTATTGAGCTCCTCATAGCCCTACTCCAGAATCGTCCAGTTAGGAGCAAGTGGTGCATCACACTGAACTCTTGAATGATGATTTTGATTTACTAAATGCTTGGAAATATGTATTTTAGAAGAGCCTGAGATGAGTTTAAGCAAAATTAGTTTTTATGAAACGGCCATTTGTTTGTTTGTTTGTTTTTTGGCTACAGCTATATGCTCACAATGTGGAAAACAGCATTTTTCTTCTTTCATCCATTTTGTTTACTCCGTTGTAGTTAAGTGGGTTAGCAAGTCGAGGTTTGGAAGAAAAGTCTTTTTCAGGGTCATGTGAAAGTTGTGCGCTACTTAAGAGTCACAGTGCCACATCCACATACCCTGAAGAGCACAAATAGCACCTCTCCACACCAAAACCCTGACATCAAATCAAATTCAGAGCCACCGAAGTCAAGTGAAAAATGTAGAAACAGAGGCACCTATCTTTTGAATGAATGTGAACCATAACCAAAACTATAGATAACCAAAGGGAGGCTATCACTCTTGCTAGCCACATGCAAACCGTGCATACATCCGTAATTACTGTGGATTTAGACTGGACAAGACCTTCGTTACAAGTTTTAAAGTGCAAGACGTTGTTTGATTCAGGTTCAAAAGATGTAGCTCTGAGCAGACAGAATGTGATAGAGGCCCTGTGACGGAGCGCTTGGGTCTGTTGATCTTGACAGTAGAATTCTCCCAAACACCCAGTGTCCAGTCTCCATATCGATGGTTTTCCCTGCCTGCCGGCTCACAAAGGCCAGGGCTGACAGATGGACAGGCAGACAAACTGCTTGTTTTTAGTTTAATTCGTTTTGATTTAATTGCGATATTATGGGGAAATGAGGATGAATTGAGGAAATGAATTTGCTGAATCGATGGAAAGTTGTGTGCATGTGTGCGCTTTGTCTCTCTGTTCATCTCTGTTTTTTCCCCTTCATTTTTGTGTGAATGTATTAGTACACCTGCATGCACATGTGGTTGTTTTGCAATACCTGTGGCCTTTATGGCTGGGGAGCATATGAAAACATCAGTCCTGTTCTCAGAACGAATCGCTACCTCATTACTGTCAAACATGGTGACTGGTTAGTCAAACACTTGGTGTACGGCAGAGAGAGGCAAATGTTGTCATTTTCTTCTTTTTAAGTTCATGTCACCCAGATCATAATATTATCGTCTGCTTGTTTTTTTGAGCATCTCTTGAGAGGTTTACTGTAGGTAGATGTACTCTTACAATGATGCTTTGGCTGGTTAGGGTCATATGAAATTGTTTTATTTAGCAGCACTAAGATAGATAAGTGGCTGTAATTTATCCTCAAGAAAAACTGCAATTTAATACCAAAGCTATCTTGTCGGTATTTTATTCTTATTCAGCATGTGGAGTTATGACAACAGTTATGACAAATTGTGTGGTGTCTGGTCCTACTGCAGTGTGTTGACTGTTCCATAATGAAGCCTTTTAAGAATGTCCTGCGTTTTTCCCCATTCTTGTTCTTGATGAGCCTTCTCTCAAGATTTTACCCACCCTGAACCTTTTCAAAATTGTTAACAGGTCTTGGACCTATGGACTCCTCAAGGCTTTTTCACCATGCATATGTGTGGAAGTAGTATTGCAGTAGAAACCCAGTAATCCTCAGTATTCATGGCCTGTATGTCTTATTTCAGAGTTTGCATGGTAAAATATCTTCAGCATATACAGATATGTAGGCCAATAAAATAGTTTCCTTTTTTTTTTTTTATTACTACCTGGACTTTTATTTTGCACTAATGTGCAAAGATGTCACTGTTTATTTAGTGTTTTTATGCTAACAAAGACAGCTGGGGAAATGTTTGAACCTTACTTTCATACCAGAATGTTCAGGCAAGTTCAAAAGCACTTGTTTTGTCCTGCTTTTTTTCCAAGGCAGGTGTCCATGAGCGGATGTATTTGCCATAGCAAGATAAATGTTGTGCTTCCATTTTTTTTTTTTCTTCTAAAGATTTCTGAAACAAAACCACCAGCATTTGCATCTACTAAAAGGGAGAGAAAAACACTCAAGGTCACAATGTGTATTTGTTTGCTTTTTCATTTTAATATTTGTTTTTGTTGTATGTTGTTTTTTTGGGGGGGGGCTGGGTTACAGTTTATTTTCTCCCCCCTCTCTTTTTGTTCATATAGCTTTCTGTTACATAGAAATAACAATGTTGCTTGTGACTAATGCTTGGTTGAAAATAAAGATTGAATATTTATTTTCTGCTTATTTTCGTGCCATTCATTTTTTGTTTTTTTCCCGTTAGCACAAATAGTCAGGGTTCGTACGGGTGCTCGAAATCTTGAAAATGCTTCAATTTTAATGTAGTGTTTTCAAGGTTTGAAACGTGCTTGGATTTTGGATAAAGTGCTTGAAATTGCAGTTGCATTGGTTTTGTAGTAATTTGTTTTATTACTGAATAACGTTAGTTCACTTTTTAGATAAAATGCCTTTGGCATAAAATGAAAACCGCTCCGCTCGAGTCTGCGCGTGACTGTAGTGTGATCCGCCGGTCTTTATTGACGCGCGCCCTCTGATGAACAGAGCGGGAGATAAAAACATGTCTGGAGGTTGCCGCTTCAGTCAGCGTTGGCTTGAAAATTACAAATACAAAAATGATGGTTAAAATGTAAAGTCTCTGTAAAGTCTGCTTTTTCATGGGAGAGTCTGTGCTTTCAAGTCGTGTAAAAGGTAAGCAAAATGCCCATTCTCAGTTAAACTAAATATTTATAACTGTCGAGAATCTCGCGATTAAAGTGAAATAATAAACATTTCAAAGTCAAAATGCAGCGCGGGTGTTTTTATATTAATGCATCTCTAAAGTGAGCCGACTGCCTTCAGAGAAGTTTCAATGGCATTTTCGTTTAATCTCACCGACGTATAATGTCTGATAAAGCAGCGTTTGTGAGCACCATAGACATCGCACAGCTGCTTTGTGTACAGTCGATAACCGGGGGAAAAGCTGCATTCATGCAGTTCCAAAAGCGCCACCTAGTGGCAGACAACCTCATAGTTTAGCCTTTAAATTAAAATAATTATTTAAACTATTTTTAAGAAATAAAGGAAAGGGATGAGTCAAAAGTATAAAGCACACAAACATCTTAATGTTTTTTTTTTTAAGAGTTTTGAAGGCACCTTAACTTTTTGTTCTGAAAAACAGCAGACGGGCTTATTGGAAATGCAAATTCATCCTCTGCCATCAAACACGTTTAGAAACAAAGTCATTCTTTATACTTCTGACTCATCCCTTTTCTTTATTTCTTAAAAATATTTTAAAGGCTGAAATGTGAGATTTGTCACTTTATAAAACTCTATTTGTGAAAACCTGTATTTGAACTGCAAATAATGTTTGTTTTTGGGTTTTTTTTTTGCAGTAATTTTATGGTTTAATATGTTACCATAGTCATTGCCCTACCCCGCTCATACAGTGTTTATTTTATTTGTGCAGGTCTTAAAAAGCCTTTAATTTTATTTTAAAAATCCTTCAGATACCCTGTTAATTCTTTCTTTCTGTATTTTTTATTTTATAGTTTATATACTGTTTGTTGGCTATTTATATTATGCAATGCTTTATGCAATCCAGATCGGTGTTTTTTAATAGTACAATAACATCTGATTTAAAGTAGAAAAACTCAAGAGTGTGTGTAAACATGTAATTCACCACAGTTTAAAGTGCTGGAAAAGCTTGAAAATGCACCTAGAAAGTGCTTGAAAAGTGATTGAATTTGAATTGGGAAAAGGTGTAAGAACCCTGAAATAGTACAATATTTCTATGACCCAAATATGCACTAGTTTTGATGCATACTTTGCATAATGCATCTGAGATTTTAAACCATAGTAACCGATGAAAGGTTGACTCGTATAGATAAAATGTTTCTTGCTTTCAGCAACTTTAAACAAAAATATGCATCAAATAAAAGGACAATATGGTTTATAAGAAAAGGGCGAATTAAGTTTTTCTTTGTAGCTTTAATTTTGCTAAAAAGATACATATTTGGAGATGACAGCAAATACAAAATCCATAACATATTGAACAAGTCACATATTTACCACCACTTTCCATTTATTACTCTTTGTAATACAATGCTTTGAACAACTAAAGCATCATTGGCAGTGGCCATTAAAAATGTTACCAAACTCACTGCTTCCTTTGGTCCTTAAGCAATAAAGCCCACTGACACATCAAATATTACTGAGACCTTAATACACAACACCTAAGCATCTCAGTCAGCAGGAAACGCTACTTTCCATTATTTCGTGTGCATCATGAGCTCACAGACTGCAATGATTTCTACAGAGTGACCTTGGCATTCTTAGGTGATTAATTGTTGATATAAAGGTAGTATGCAGAAAACAATTATCAGTGATGAATGCACATCAAACAACTCGTCATGAACACTTGTCCAGCTTTATAAAGCATCCCTACCAAATGTGTTTTTCAATGATAAAGACCAAAAATACAATTAGTCTGTTGCTGTTATAGATGCTGTTATAGAACATTATCCACACTTAAACATATTAGTCAATACTAAAGGTAACATAACGCACTCAGAAGCATTTGTGATACAAAGTACATTGATAGTAAACAAAAACATTATTACTTATCTAATTGAAAACAGTTGTCTGAACATGGTTCAGATTATTCAGATGTGTCTTAAGCACAATGCCATGTAGAGGCAAATACTCTATGCCCACACCACCGCCAAGAATGGCACACAGTGCCACTAGGCCAAAGGGAAGGCTCTTCTTGTTTCAAAATAAAAGGTGTTCCCATAACTAACATATTTCAGGCAGTATTTTTACCACCACAGCTTAGCTCATTCCTTGCTCTTGAACTAAGCCCTCTTAAATGCATCAAAAATGACATCTGTCTTCATAGTTTTTGGAAAAAGTCTATTTGAAGTTAGATTTCAGATGTAAAAATGTTTAACAGAACAAGGCCAGAATGAATAGTATGTAAATGATCAGAACCTCCTGTTGTGTTCAAGAACTAGGTACAACTTCTGTGTTGGGGTCAAAATTTAGCCACTTATTTTTGTCCAAAATTACCTGTAAAATATGTATGTTTTGGTCATGGCTACTTGGCTACATGGTCACTTCAGACCATTTGTACAGTGAGGTGCAATTAACAAGTATAAATAGCATCTAACATTATTTGTACCTAGTATTTATTGCATTTTGTTTCTCCCACTGCTTTTATGTTGTCTTTTTCACAAAACCCTTGTAAGGGTAAAATGGGTCTGTTCTGCTTCTATTCAGTGCTGCAACAGTCTAGTAATTGAGGTCAGAACTCACATTTTTTGACTGCGAAACTCTATGAAGAAACAGTGACTTTTCTTTAGATTAATCAGAAGGTGAGTCTCAATTTCAAATAAACATTTGAATCTTGATTCTTAAACTTTTGAGTCTGATTTTTATGGAAACCAGTGGGGGGTCAGTTTGCCAATCAGGGTCACGAAAGCTTTATTTCTTTTTTTTGTACAGCCTTTCCAAAATATCTGTGTCGAAACTTTGCATGCACATTCATGACCCTAAATAATCCCAAAATTTCAAGTAGTAAATATCTTAACCAGTATTTCAAGCTGTGGGTTAAATTGACCCCAATGCAATAGAAGGGTTAAAAAAGATCACTGTTTAAGTTGCTCAAATCCTGTCCCCATTTACTCCAATAACCCTACTTTTTTTTTTTTAAGAAATAAGATCGTAAATATTTTGCTTTAAAATAAAATAAATTAGCTTGTTAATTACTGTCCCATCTTCATTTAAAAGCATTTAATGCTCTTCCTCAAAAACCTGAACCAATTATCTTCATAAAATGTTGCCCAAAATATTTCTTAATTTATACATGTACTACCTATTGTACATAACTTTGTGAGTGAATATACTTTTCATAGATCATATGTATATAAACATCTCTGAATTTAAGTTAAAAAGATACAATTTGTATCAACAAGGACAGGTATTCTCTGGCTACCCTAAGTCACATGTTATGAAAACAATTCTGGAATAATTAATGCCTGATGAAGTCTGCAAAACATTAAAGAAATCTGCACCTAATCAGGTCCCAAACTTAGTTGCTTTCAACAAGAGCAGGATACAGTATCATGCACCCATAATCTTAGCCAGAGATGTCCCTTACTAAAACTAAGGTACACAGACAGAGCTGTCTTCACTACACTACACTACACTACACTACACCTGTGGCAACATTCAGACCATTTCTCCTATGATAACACTGACAGAACTACAGAATACCTAAGCCCATTCCCAAATTACAAGCATGCACACCCTGACACATTTATCTCTATATGTAAAAGAATAAAACATCACAAAATCATAATTAAAATGGCAATATAAGCAGTCAGTGATAGGCAAGTTACTCCACTTTTGCATATAAAGAACCAAATTTAAATGTAACTAGATTATGGAGAATGTGATTAAGAAGAAACCAGCATAAAAAAAGCAAGCAAATAATTCAAGTGAGAGTTGGCATTACATCACAAAGAGGAGGAAAAGCCAAAGACCTGCAGGGTTATGGCTATATAAAAATATAAAGCTATTTTCATGATAGCACCTTGAATTTGAAAGCGATGATCTTTCAGAAATGAACAATCGTATATAAAAATATTCCTGAAATATTTTTTTCAGCCAAAAAAGAGGGTCCTGCCCTTTACACTCATTTCATATAAGTGAGGCTTGATCTGTTGACACAGATGAATGCAATGCTTTAAACATCTGTTTTCTCAAGTCAAATATATTTGTATAGCGCTTCGTTTCAAAGCAGCTTTACAGATATAATAGCCAAGCTGTCCTAATAGATTCTATTGTAGACCATCTACACCTACAAATACTCTGGCCTTCTATCTCCTCTTACTGATTGCCATAAGTTACCAAACTGCATTGAATTTGATAAACAGCAATAGAAAGTGCCTTGTGATTCATTACATGCTCACCTGAACATAATCATGAACATAAAGTAAAACATTTCAGAAAATAAATAGCAAAAAATAAATAAATATCACACACACACATCACAACATTCACACTTCTAGTCTATAAAATGTTTTTTATAGCTATATTCTCCTCTTAGGTCAGCCAACAAGACATAAAAAATGCTTAATATTATGGTGTCCATGCTTATAAGGTCATAACTTTCTCAAAGCTGAGAATTTAAATCGGATACTTTTAATGCAATGCTTTACATAAATAGATGCCTCAATTTCATTAGAGTGCAAGAAGCTGCCAGAGAGACAAAGTTTGCAGAGAGCGGGTCACTGTTAAAGGGATAAACCAATTCAAAAAGAGTCTCTCATTATTTACTCAGCACCATGCCATCCCACAATGTGTATAACTGTCTTTCTTCACAAGAACACAAGATTTGTGAGATTTATGTTCTTAAGTGACAAGCCTCTGTGCTTCACACACTTCACAATGCACTTACATCACATTTCACAGCATGCTGACGTTTACATCAGGTGAACACACCTTTGACACACGTCTGACAGTTGGCCAGAAGATGGTTTACATTTAAAAAAGTTAATATAATAGTATTTTTCTCACGCACACTTATCATTTCACCTCAGAAAACACTGATTCATCAGCTGGAGTAGTATGGATTACCATTGTGTTTTGTGTGGCTTTTAAAGCATCATCTTTGGGTGTCCCATATATTTATGGTCTCCCCAGAGATTTTTTTATTTGTATTCTCTGTTTGTGTTCATCTGAAGAAAGAAACTCACACATTTGTGAAAATGTGAGGGTGAGTAAATGATGAGAGTATTTTCATTTGACCTCAGCGCTTAGTATCCAGCATGGTTCTTTTCTGCCAAGATGGCTGCTGCCAGCTGTTGGGCGTCAGTCACATGAGGGTACCGCCCCATGACCAACTGCACTAGCTCTGTAGGGAAAATGTTGCACAGGTTGGTAAACACTTTCTCTCGTACTTCCTGGTAACGACTCAAGGAAAGTGGCTCCTGGTGCTGGTGTGATAAAGCATGGGGCAGATGGGGGGGAGGAGGAGCAGAAGGACAGCCCCAGGGCATCCGCCACATCTGTTCATGGTTCTTTGAAAGATCCTGGAAACTGAAGGGCTCATAGCATTGTTGTGGGTGCTGTCTGTAATATGGATCCCAGCTGGTCTTTCGCTCTTGGGATACGTAGGGTTTTCTAGGAAGCAATGGAGAGTGTTCATAAAGCCTGGAGTCCGACACACTGTCCACACGTGTTGAGGCAAGGCCACGACCCAGTGGAGAGTTCTGGGAGTAAGTGTTGCTCTGGCAGAGAGGAGGATAGTCTCCAGGATAGCTTGAGCGGGAGCCTACCACTTGATGCTGGCGTTGTGGAGACATGTAGGAGACAGAGTGCTGGAAATGGGGGTCTTGCTGGTCTTCTGGAACAAAACTATGAACACTAGGTATGCTGTGGTGGAATCCTGGGTGATTAGATGTAGCAGGAGATGGAATGAACCCTGGAGGAATAACAGAAGGTAACTGATAATTTCTACGATGATGATGGTGGTGATGACACTTGATTCCTTCATCCAGTAACAAATCAGGAGAACTCATGCAAGAATGCTCATTGTGGGTTGCCATGCCATAAGAATCAGAGCTCATGCTGCCATCGCTGCTGCAATCTGATGCCACTGAGCTGGTCCGTGGATCAGCATCAGACAGGAAGTGACGCTCTGGACTGCTCTGAGAGGGCAGGCTTAGGCCAGAATATGCCCTAACCATGGAGTAATAGAGACCGGGAGATTCACAGTTTGTGTGTGGTTCTGCTTGAGTCTGCTTGTGATCTTTCAGGTCCTGGCTATACCCATGACAGGAAGGAGGACCACCTGGAGCTGGAGGAAGAGCTAGGTTGTTCTTATACAGGTCTGCTTTAGTTTTGGAACACAGCTTATCCTCCACATCACTGTAAGAGAGGGCACGGATACTGGGGTCCAATTGCCTCTTTGGCAGAGATCGTTTACCATCACCAGCTTTATCATTACGGGAGCCTCCAGGCTCACTGTGGCTTTTCACGAGACCCGTCTCTACCACACTTTTAACTGTGGAGTTCTTGGCACTGGCACGGAGCTCATCTGCTACCGCTCGCTGTGGCTGTGTACCACGCTCTGGATGGTAAAACTTACACTTGTGCCCGTAGGTGCATTTCTTTCCTAATGGAAATAAAGGGGGAAAAAGTGCTTAATTTGTAAATTGAAAGGTGCAGGAAT